TGATAGGGGAATCAAGCGATTTTCTTTCTTTCCACTTGTACCATCTATGGACTGCTTAAAGCAGAACTTCACCAAAAAGGGGAAGTTCCCTTTTTCCTCCTCATCCCTCCTCCTCTGTTAAAATTGGCATTTTGACAGGTTAGGCTCTCCCCTCCTCTCCCTGCAGCCTCTTGGGACACATGACAGGTCCCAAGAGACTGCAGGATCATTCACAAGGTGATGTAATAATTAACAGTTATTTGTGGTAACTAATAGAACTCCAAAGGATAAAGTCAGATGAGTGACACACAGCAGACTTATTAATAAAAGTAGGTTTGCTAAAGCACTGTGTATCTTATATAGTTTTTTTTTTTTTTTTTTTTAGAAATAAAATACTTGTTTTTTTATTTTTTTTCATCCTTAACTACATAAGCCTGTTTCTGGTTACATGCACTCCAATGATGGTTGTATAATGGATGGGTTTCCTGATGGTGACAACAGTGGACCATGCCTGCTTAATGTATGTGTTAAACCAGCCACTTGTAGTCTCCACCAGAAGCCCACTTGATACACTGACAACTGAAGAGCACAACTGGGAGACAGGGACAGAGTGTTGTCGCCCAATAACAGGAAGTGCCTGAACAAGGAGCATCATAGCAGGATCACTAGGTGTTAATTTAATAAAAAGCTACAGATTAAAAAAATATTAAAACAACTTTTGAAATTACATAAACATTTTAATGTTCATATGATATTGTAGTGATTGGGTTTACATACAGTATACTTTAATATAATTATTTTATAACATTGTATGCAAGGCTTCTCTGCTGAGCTGCATGAAAATGGGAAAAACCATTCACTGCAATAGATTTAGTTGCAGTGGATTGGTCCCTCCTCTGTCAGAAGTCAGGAAAGAGTGAATGGCACAAAACGCATTGAGTGATGTCAGCCATCCATGCTTATGGTACAGAGGCAGTTTGTTTACACGGAAGCATTATAAAGTACTAAATACGTCACCTAACCAATGACACGCCTAAACAGCACTCCAATGATGGTTGTGCATCTCTCTGAACTAGCTGTTCAGAAAAAAAAGGAAAAAAAAAGGACACTTTTACAGTTAAGATGGGGGATTCTCACTTTTTTGCAGGTTATAGATAGCTGGACACTGGGGACGTTCTACCCCAGCCACCAACCTTAGGAAATTTTCAGGGTTTCATTATTATGACTTGATGTGACATGGAGGCAAAAGGTCCACAAAGACCCTACTCTGAGCTGAGGCAAACTGCTGAAATGGTGCAGGATCCTGCATGTCCACGGTCATTCCTGTTAATTACAGTAAAGAGTGCATAGCTTATATACTCTAAATGGAGTACAAAGCAACACCTAGAGGTGTTCACACACACATTTCAGGATAATAATTCCCTTCTCAGAAGCCCTGAAGTCAGAGAAAAGAATTGTGGGCTCCTGATTAGGTGACCACTGTGAGATCCAACCACAGTGGTCATGTGATCGAGAAGCCGCTCCATTTTCTGGCATTAATGCACACTTCAAGGGCCACCGAGAGGTAGTATGGAGGAGTTTAAATTCAGCAGCTGCAGTACTCGGTTTAGTTTTCACACAGTTAGGTGAATTTCCTCTTTAAAAGGTGAAATCAAACATCCATACTCACCTCTGTGCTGCAGCTGTCCCAAGACGGCTCTAAGCCCGAGAACTGAACAATCATATGATCACTGATCACTCAGTTCTTGGTCGACTCAGAGCAGAGAGCAGTGACTGTCAGTCACTTAGAGGTGGAGCCAGCTGTCAATCATGCAACTGGGAGGACTCTTGACAATATTGGTAGGATCCTTCCAGAGCCTGGAGTGGCTCTGCCATATCAGCGGATAGTGGGTCACAGGAAAACAAATGTAAGTGCACTCCTGTGACCCACATGATATGTAGGGTTCATAATTCTCTTTTAAGTAAATACAGGCTTCAATATCTGAACTTGGAACTCTGGTATTCAGTCCCACATGTCCCAATGGGTTATCACAGTAGCAGCAAGCCTGGAAAGACACACAAGGTGGCAGACCAGACCTTGGATTTCAGGAACCATTTCCATATCTTAGAAACCCAGAACTCAGGGTTCCCAAGGAGTTCATCAAAAGGTGTGCAGGTTGATCTAGATGTGGCTTTCCACTTCTACTGCCGCTTCATTAAAATTAAATTTCTAAATAAATACACAAAATACATATATAAGTGCTCTTTTACAGGTCAAATGATTTGTATTTTTATTCATCTAGTCTTGAGATTTAGATATTCCTACTGGGCAAAACACAGTCAGACTGATAACCTGAATTTTCTCTTTTGCAGTTAAGTACTAAAACAAGGTTACCTCCATACTCCTAGGCTGCAATTACACATTACCTAGGCAGCAGCAACCTGATATGTTACTCTGCTCTATCCTTCTGTCAGCATGTTCCTCATCAGCTCATTTGTATACAGCACTTCTGACTGGTTCTTATCGCTGCCTCTCCTTCTCCAAGTCTGAATGCTGTTTTTAGAGTGTTGCAAGATAAATGAATGATGAATTCAGTTGTTTACACTAGCTGCTTTTAAAAATACAATAATTTTAATGAAGACATAACTGCATTCATTGGTGTTTTTTACACCTGCTTGGCATTAAGCTTTAAACAAAGCCCCGGTCCATGTTGGCATAGGAAATACTTCAACCATGGAGGGACTCCATGCACATCTGCCAAAGGCAGATCTAGTGCGAATTGCTGGATCTGCAAGGAGTCTGAACTGTGACTCTTTGGAAACAAAAGGGGAATTTAACTAAAACATTCTAACTAATCCCAAGTTAAGATTGCCATACATGAAGGCAACAAAGTGTCCTACACTGCAAATAATCTCACCACACGTGAAGCACCAGTGACCATCATATTAATGAAAGGAGAGTTATGCCCCCGTGCAACTGCCACACCAGGTGTGAAAACCTAGGAACTCCTTGACAGACATAAAAGTGATTATAAAGCTTTGGCTGTTTTTAATTCAAATAACAAACATGTCATACTTGCCTGCTCTGTGCAATCATTCCTCTTCTCGGGTCCCCCAACAGCGCTCCTGGCTCCTTCCTCTTCAGCCAGTGCCCCAAAAGAAAGCCATTTCCTAAGAGAACAGTGGGCTAGCTCCCGAGCCCTGCTGTCTGCATCCAGAGACAAAGACAGAGGGGCACAGTCCCGCCCCGCACATCACAGTGTTTGACAGCAGTGGGAGCCAATGGCTCCTGGTGCTATGGATCTGCCCTGTGAAGAGGGACACAGCATGCACAATGTTGGATTGCGATGGGGCTCAGCTAAGTATGCGGAGCCTGAAGGGACTGAATGCATTAAGGTAAAAAACCTTAAGGCTTCAGAACCACTTTAAGAACGCATTTTGTGTTATTACTGTAAAATGTATGTAAAAGAAATGTATAATGTTATTCTGTTTGCTGTCCTGTATTTTAATTTTTGCACACAGATTTGTAAATTCTCCCTTTACTGGTCATCTATATATAAGGGAATGTTATTAGCATGCAGAGTATCTAAACCAAAAAAAACAAACATTTTACACATTGCAACTTACCAGTACTCAGTAGTAGTTGCATTAACATTCTATTGTAATATTGGTTTTCTTTTTCCTTTATTTTTACCTTTTGATCGTGCCAGTAACATACTTTCTGGGTGGGATGACAAAGCAAATTCCTTGAACTGTATTTATGAAGGAACAGTGTTGTCACACAGAATGCTCTCCTGATTTGGATTCCGTTATATAGAGTGAAATTGAATTGTAGTTCACCGAAGATAGCCAAGAAAGCTGATAACATTATTTGAGACTTCAGTTCACAGGAAGTTGCAAGAACTTAAGAAGAGATCAATTGGTATTTTTCTGTACTTGCAGAAAAAAGAAAACAAATGTAGCCACCAGATATAGGGACTGGTAAGCTGCAATATATAAAATCTTTGTTCTAGGGTTCAGACATAAATTATTGACTGCTGGAAAAAAGCTCTGTTAATGTTATAGAGTGTACTGAACGCATCACAAACAGATGAGCCAAGAAGCCAGGTTATCAAGAAGGAAGCAGCGTTTGCATACATAGTGAACTAATGTGGCTGCTTACATGTCAATACATAGATTTATTTATATACTATAGAGAAACAAGTTTTTTTTTTTTTTTTTTAAACAATTTGGCCTCACTCACAAGGGCAGCCAGGGCACTGGAATAAACAGGAGGTGGAGTTGCGATTTTATCACTTCCCTCAAGTAGAACATGCACCAGTTCAGTGCTGTACATATGCCTTGGCAAATATGAAACCCTCAGTCATGTTCAGTGAGCAGAACATCCACCAAACGTCAGTAAATGGTGCAGCCTTTTCAGAGTTAAAGGATGTGGTGTGGAGGCGACATCATTCCCAGGTGCCTGTCACCTGCATTCTGCTGCCGCCTACGTGAACTAGGCCATACTGATAAGTTTACCTTTACCTCTCCTGCTACCATGAAGTGTATTATCAGCTGGGGTAGACTGACCTTTTAAACCTTTCTCAGATTTGTACTGAAGACATGTTAACATAGATATCACAAGATTGCTGATTAAAAGAAATAAGTAAACAAAAGAAAACCATTATAGAGACACAAAACAATATATAACCGAATATCAGTTTTTAAAACACTTCTGGAAAAAGAATGAAATGTTTGTGAAAACACAAATGACCATTTACACTGGAAACCTATGGGCCACTTGATGAGTCAACCAACAACCTGGTTTTCCCGATGTTGCCAAGCCACCATGATAAGGAACAACTCCATTGCTTTAGATTCTGTGTCCAAATTCCAAAGGAAGTCCATCCCTTCAATAACTCTTCATGTGAACAAGAAGCTTCCTGAAGTCCTTCTAAATAGTTAACAAAGAAAGGGTGATTAAGACAAGTCCAATCTAGGAGAGCAGGGACCAAAATCTGGCCAGTGCTGGAAAAAGATGGCAGGTGGGAAGCACCACTGCCCTAATGGACTAGTTCAGGCTGATTCTCCACAAATGGCAGTACTCCGCTGACATAGTAAGCTATGCCGAGAGAAAGCAGAGCAATGACAATAAGGAGGAGGAGCACCCTCCAGAATCCCAGATCCTCCACAAATTCCTGCCAAGTGGTGCGGAAGCTGGACAGGACTCCTTCCCCCTGCTGCAAGTTTGGATTCAGGAGGGAATGGCTTTCCATAGCGCTGTAAAAGAAGCAGACAAGTCAGAAAACACACAGCAAATATCCAATATATGCACACAACACATCACATGCAGGAAAAGCAAGGTAAGTGGACATGCAGAATGAGGGAATGAAAGGTTTATCATCCTTTGCCATACGACAGCCAATCATTTTCAAACTTCCACTGAAAAAATGACACTTGGTGAAAAAGTCGGAATCTGATTGGCTGCTATGGCATGTTGGCATGAAAGATAGAGGCATGTTGATAATTCAGTGCATTTTTGTTACTGTGAAATAATCAGCCCCAATAACTAAAGCTGGCTATATACTGTACAAATTTGAGCCTGTTCCCCAGGAAATTTGCTCACAGTGGGGGGCCCTGTTGCCTGACATCCCAACAGTAAAAGTGAAGTAGCCAAGCAGAACATTGTTGGCAGAAAGTAGCCACATCCGTTCAGATGAGCAGCATGAGACCTATGTTGTACAGTGTGAATGAAGGAGTATGTTACCTTTTACTGTTCAGCCTGCAAAAAATGATCACAGTATGGCCAGCTTAAGGGTGAATTGACAACGTATAGTGGATAAATTGCAGAGCTCTGCGTTGCCGGTTGTGCTAGGGGGGCAGTGTGGTGCACAATTCTGCACACCGCACAGCTCCTTGTGGTTTTTTTTTTGGTACAAGCTTTATTTGAAGTGTACAAAACATACACTTCATTAACTACAATGTCGAAAAGTGTGATGCACTGCACTGCCTGACATTGCAGGGCAATTCGGCCAGGTGCGTTGCGATAAAATGCAGCATGTCTTTATTATAACATAGCACTAGGCTACGTTGCAGTGTGAATGGGACACAAGGGAAACAATTGTTTTTCTGTGTGTCCCTGCATGGACAGATGTTTTACCATGTGATAAAATGTCTGTCACCGCATATAGTGTGAATTGGCACTAAAAATCTACGTACATTGTCATCAACACCCACACACCATCAATGCTAGTTTGCCAGGTGCAGGAGACCCTTTATTTTCTCTGCAGAAAAAGGTTGAACGAATATATATATATATATATATATATATATATATATATATATATATATACACACACACACACATACATATATACACACACATACATACATACATATATATATATATACACACACACACACACACATACACACATATATATACACACACATACTTGCATACACGCGCTCACACACACTCCAATATAGATTTGGGATTTCAGACATGTAATATACACAGCTCTTTCCCAGTGTGCTGTATGTATCAAACATCTTCAATTTGTCACAATTCTCTGGCTTGTGTGCAAGACATTACACACCAGATGACTTGCTAGAGACATCTACTGGTTACATCGGATAATGAACATGAGGCCACTAAATAAGAGATGATAAAAATATATCCTGCACCATGGGGTTGTATTCAAAAACTGCAAAACTCAAAAACAATGGTGGCACATTATAGGAAAGCAGAATATGTGTACAGTGCTACAATACACCTCCCCCTATTCTTTAAACATTATCATAAACACTACCAATACAATTTGTGCAATCAATGAAGTGCTATGTGCAAAAAAAACATATTATATACTAAAGATGTGGGTGTGGCACTACAATACACCTCTCCCTATCCTTTAAACAATATAATCAAACTCCATTAGTAAAGTTTGGACAATCAGTAAGATGTGTGATTCAAACAATACTATGTAATCAATTTCTGAGATATATAACAAATGCGTATTAAGCTTGTGACTACCAAGCATTTATTGAGTGTAAGTGTTCCTAAAGATTTGTAACTTTCAGTAAATAAATGGTAATATACTATTGGGCGCATTTTTGGTTTTGTTCCATGTCCTCTCGCATCAGTTTCTAGAGGAGAGAACGGCATCTGGATACATCCCCAAGAGAGGAGAGAGAGGAGCTTGGTGGAGAGGCAAATGAGCTATTAGACCCATCTAAAAAAATAAGAGGTCATGGATGGCTGGTGAGTGCGGTGTGTGGAGGGGAGCACAAAACTGGAGTGAATACTGCACATTATTTTTTGCCACTTTTGAACTTTTATGAAATAAGCAGAAGAGACACTTTATGGCACTATTATGATGCAGTTTATGGAATTTCATTATTACATGAGGGGTCTTCAAAAGTTTCCGCAATTTCATATTTTCTTTGGAAACGGTGAGGGCAAAAGAAGTAGTAATTGGTCATGTCTGAGAGTGTCATGTGACTAGTCTGCCTGCCAAGCTGGCTGATCTTGCAGTTTAGTATAGTAGTTGTCACGCTGTGGTGAAAATGGCTGTGAAAGTGTGGAAAGTCTTTGAAGAACCCTCGTATATTTGCATGAATTTTTTGCTACATAGTAGCGTTTGAATCACAATACTATGTGCATCTTTTTGATCTCACAAACTTTACTAATGGAGTTTATGATATTGTTTAAAGGATAGGGGAAGGTGTATTAACCACCACACCCATATCTTGCTTTTTAGAAATAAAGAATACTAGAGCTTATACTAATAGCTAAAATTTGGACCCAACAAGTGATAATGTTTAAATCAGACATGAAGGCAATGCTTATAAACTAAACAGAGTACCTTTGACATATATACTAATAATTTTCTAACCATTTTTGTTTTAACAAAATAACGCATGGAGTTTGCAAATTCTCCCTGTGCCTGTGTGGGTTTCCATTGGGTTTCCTCCCACACTCCAAAAGACATGCTGGCGAGTTTATTGTCTTCTGTCCCTGGCATGTGTATGCACGCATATGTAGTAGGAAGCTACTTGATGGCAGGGAAAGATGTTAATGTACAGTACGTAACATGCTGTGCAAATTGCCAGTGCTGTAAAAATATCTTATTATAAATAAAATGTTTTTGAAATACGGTAGTTTCTTCTCAGTCACATGACTGCCATCTCATTGCCATGTACTGTGACGGCAAGGGCTTGGGGATGTATTAATGCAGCCCTGAATGTCGGATAGCACAGCTCTCTGCCTGAGCAGTAATTTTGATTCAGGCAGAAGGAGTACACTGGGTTGGCGGGATTACAGAACGCTGCAACGATGTGTGGCACTATTGCATTATAAGAGGGCCCGTGAACATCGTATATACTCTGATAAAAAAAAAAACTGTGTACTTACCTATTTTTAATCTGGTCTGGTGATGTAATACAGCAGCTCTGGCTCCTCTGTGTCAGTGAGCAGCTGCTGCAGGGGAGAAGAGGGAGCACTGACAACAGCTGGGCCATGGGAGCTTACAGATGATGTCACAAATCTTGGAAACCACAACTGTTGTTGAACACTCCCTTACACAGGGTAGCCGGAGTTACAGGATCACGTAACTGGACTGAGTTTAAAAAGTATACAAATCTTTTTTGATACAGGATAGGCAGAGTAGTTAGGAGGGGGGGGGGGGTAGCATTTTTAGGAATAATTAGGCTTTACTATCACTTTAAAAACACAACACAATAAAAGCTAAATAATGGTCAGATACCAAAAGGGTACTTGAGAAAAGCAACCCCACAAAAGGAGGTCCTTTGCATAAACAATGGCATTGCTAAGGGGTGCATCTTAAGGTGTGGAGATACACTAACATGGGTTAGAGAATGGATGACCAGTGGCTCTGTTAGTGTGTTCGAGGACTTTCATGGTTGATAGGACAATGGCTAACCCATAATGACATACAAGTCACTAAGCATCCTTACTAAATACACAGTGCTGTGAAAAAGTATTTTCCCCCTTCCTGATTTTTTTATTTTTTTGCATTTTTGTCACATTTTAAATAATTCAGATCATCAGACAAATTTTAATATTACTCAAAGATAACCCAAGTAAATACAAAATGCAGTCTTTAAAATAATTATTTCATTTATTAAGGGAAAAAAAAGCTGTCCAAACCTGCCTTACCCTATGTGAAAAAGTAATTGTTCATTCAACAATAAGAAAGATTGAGGAAAAATGGAATCCATGAGAGAGTTTCAAGGCGAAAGCTACTGCTGACCAAAGAGAACACAAAGGCTCATCTCACATTTGCCAAAAAAAAATCTTGATTATCCCCAAGACTTTCGGACAAATATTCTGTGGAATGATGAGACAAAATTTGAACTTTCTGGAAGGTGTGTATCCCATTACATCTGGCGTTACATCTAACACAACATTTCATAAAAAGAACATCATACCAACAGTCAAACATGGTGGTGGTAGTGTGATGGTCTGGGGCTGCTTTGCAGGACCTGGACGACTCGCCATAATTGATGGAACCATGAATTCTGCTCTCTACCAGGAAATCCTGTAGGAGATTGTCCGGCCATCAGTTCGTGACCTCAAGCTCAAGTGCACTTGGGTTATGCAGCAGGGCAATTATCCGAAACACACCAACGAGTCCACCTCTTAACGGCTCAAAAAAACAAACTTAAGGTTTTGGAGTGGCCTAGTCCAAGAACAGACTTAAATCCAATTGAGATGCTGTGGCATGATCTTAAATAGGCCATTCATGTTTAAAAACCCTCCAGTGTGGCCGATTTAAATCTATTCTGCAAAGAAGAGTGGGCCAAAATTCCTCCACAGCGATGTAAAAGACTCATTGCCAATTATTGCAAATGTTTGATTGCAGTTGTTGCCGTCAAGTGTGGCACAACCAGTTATTAGATTTAGGGGGCTATTACTTTTTCACACAGGGCCAGACAGGTTTGGACAGCTTTTTTTCTCTTAAAAATTAAATAATTAAAAAAAAAATGCATTTTGTACTTACTCGTGTAATATTGAAATTTGAGGATCTTAATCATTTAAGTGTGACAAATACGCAAAATAAATAAATGCAATATAAAGAAGGGGGCAAATAATTTTCAACAGCACTGTATGCTGCAACAAAAATTGATTACATGACAGACATCTCAGCTGCTTCTTTACAGATCTGCACTGCTATGCTGTGCCACTAAATGGAAAATACAAAATGACTTGCGTTATGCTGAGGGCATATATACATATAGTATATACTGATCTTAAAAAA